GGTGAATGGAGGAAGAAGACCCAGCAGAGAACTAGCTCAGTGGGAAGCGAGGTGTTCATCCCTACTATCATCCATGACAGTCTGGAAATCATAGAGTGGGTCAGAAGTGACCTTAAAGCTCATTGAGTTCCAAGCCCCTGCCACAGGCAGGGACACCATCCATTAGACCAGGTTGTTCAAAGCCTCATCTGAAACCTGTAGTGTTTGCTGCCTATATGTCACTCGACTATGCTGGTCTGTCAGTAGAGCCATTCTGTTGTCCTGTTGCTGACTGTCTTGGTGCTTATTTGAATTCAAAGAAAACCCCAAAGGAAGTACGTGTTTTCCTGTGTGCCAGAGTGGAGGAGTGTGATTTGCATATTAGTAAGGGTTTGTATTGTTTATTAAAAAGGACTGTTTATCTGAAATGGACTGCACATTAAATTCACTAGAATTGGTAATCCAGAGACAAAGCTGGGCCTGAGAGAGAACTGAAACCTGGGGAGTTTCCTCAAAAGCAACATTTCTTCTGGGGAATCTATCTGTGTGTAAACTCATTAAACATCTTGGGCTGAGATTCTAGATCTTGAAACCCAATTATTTGCATCAATGCTATTCAGACCTAAGAAGCCACTTTCTCAGGAAATGGAGAAGCACAAACATACAAAATAACAGCACAATTTGGAATAACATCTGATGGTGCTGGAATTGTAAATCACATGACCTGATACTGCCCTGCGATCTTTGGGCAGCACACAGGGCAATGTATTACTGCTCACTGGAATGTTATTGTGAAGAATTGGATCAAAGAAGTATAAGTATTTGACAGATTGTGCTGCCATCCCTTTTGCTCCTAAATGGAATGGGAAGAATTTTCTTAGCCTCAGATTAGAAGTGCCTATTAAGTCACCAGTCCCCTACTACTTGTAGGCTGCAGTGTAGACGACAGTGATGATTTCCTTTACACTCTCCTTTCAGACTGTTCCTTTTCTTTAGGAACAAGAGAACTACTATTTTATTCCCAAGTGATCTAAAAAATGTAGGATAGTCTCAGTGATGCCCACCATTAATAATATTGAAATAAAATAAAACTCTCTTAACAGAATTGGTTAGAAAGGTATGTACTTAAGGTGGAATCTTTGGTCATAAATTCTGTAATGGAATCGTTTGGAACAGTTTTAGTCTGCTGAGGTGGAAGCTGAGAACTAAATGGATAACTGGCTTACAGAAATTAAGCAATGCTTCTCCCCCTGCAATAATAAAGGCCAGAGATAAATGAGTGGTAACGAATGAAAGAGTTAGGAGGAAGTATTAAGGCAGTGATTGTATCACCCAGATATGTGTTATCTGAATTTCTTCAGACTGGTCTTTAATTCTGTTCCTGTGGGTGAACCCCTTGTGTTCTTTCTTGAGTTAATTGCAAAAGTGAAGCACACAAAGCAGAAATATTGTTTTCCAAAATAACTATTTGAGTTTTGCAGCTGAAATAAACCCAAGTTCTACTTCAATAGCAAAACATTTTGTTAAAAATCTGAAGTTACTATGCCAAGAGCAACTGTACTGTTTCCTTCCATCAAGCTGTCTCAAGGCTTGACTCTCCTCCCAGCTCCCTTTTCAAGAGAGGTGTATAATTTTGATTCTGTGTGCAAGTAGCTGTCTCTCTTGTTCACTATGCATAGGAGCTAGCTTATTATAACTTTGATTTGAAACTGTTTCAAATCCCTTTATTTATTCACCATTTTTCTTAGGATCAGTTCCATAAAATCCTTTCATGTACAGCATAATCACAGTGAAGTCTTGTCTAAGAAATTCCCTGGCTGCTATATCCTTTGGTTCGTTGCCCTGAAAACTGAAGTGCTTCAGCCCATATGAAACACACCTCCATTTTTAACATATAAAAAAACATTACCAAAATTGAACACAAATACACCACCTGCCAAATCAAATCCTCACTGAAGCCTCAACTATGAGCAAAGAATTTGTTTAAGGCATTAAAACTGCAATCTTCTCAAAGGAGGATTTTGATTCAATCATTTCAGAAACCTCTCTAGAACAGGTGGAGCACAACGAGAAGAAATCCTGTTCTTGTAACATGATAGAAGCAGGATAACATTTGTGAGTGTGGTAAGAACACCTCATTACTGATAGAGCATTCCAGGTTATCAGTGCCTCCAATACCTTATTAATATTCAGACATTTGCTTCACCCTCAGCTGGTACAAGAAACAGTTGAATCCTTAGGACTGCTAAAGACATTAAATATTCTAAAACACCTGGCTTTTACTCACTGACAACTTCCATTTACTTCTGTCCTTCATTGTCATATTATGTCATATTGTGTCATACTGTAATTTATAAATAATGTGAAATATTTCAACCATTACATATATTGCAGAGTCAATAAAACTTTTTTTTGTATCAAGATGAAAACCTCAATGCATATCTGTTTAAAAACCAAAATGTATATATTACCCTGAAATTTGGGCCATCATTGAAAGCATTACAGTCCTTTAGTAACACCACCATTTCATCATTTCCATGCTGAAGCTTACATCGATAGTAATGTGCACATGTACCACCAGAAACTCAATGGGAAGTACAGATCAAAGTCCTAAAACCTCACACTGGTTCCAGCAGCAATCTCATTTGTCAAGACAACAGGAGAAGAGAAATCATTTTGGAATAACCTTCTCTTAGAGCCTTTTGATTTTTCCAGTGCTGTAAGCCACAATGCCTTTTCATCTGCACTGTCGTGTATTATAGGTTTAATAAAAGAGAACCACCTCCATGGAATAAGCAACAAAATATTTAAAATCCCCTTTTAAGCAACCCGCACATAAGGGAAACAACACAAAACCACAATGATCCAAGGACTATTTTCAAGAGTGCCAACAGCTTCAAGATGGTTTTTATTTTACAAAATAATTTTACAATTGAAAAGTATCAACCCTTCAGTTGAACAAACAGAATTGATAACTTAATTTTTTGAGGACCGTCCTAGCCTAGAAGTTGAGGTTCCCAAACCACAAGTACACACATTACCTAACCCAGACTGACTCTGTTCTCATACCTCAGTTCATTGAGATGTACTTTCCAAATCTGGGTAAAAAGGTTTCTAGATACATGATTTAAAAAATATCATTGGTCAGAAACAGTGGTTAATAAACCAGTCAGGAGGGGTGAATACTTTTCAACAAGAAATTACCATGCTGAATTTAGATGAGTTCTTCATAACATAAAGATGCTCATGCCTTCCTACCCCTTTATGTTAACGTACTGCAACGTGATCCTGATTTAGATGACTAAAAGAAGGTCTCGGCCATTTTAAATAACCTGGTCCCTTCCAACCTGGTATTTTTATGATTTTAGAATAACCCCTTTAAAATGCTACTCAGGATGAACATTAATTTTAATTATAAATATTGAGTTTCTAAGCGGGATGCTATTATTTCTGACAGCAGAGTTTCAAGTAACAGTTACTATGAAAATATGAATACATTCTAGAAGACAACTAAAACTGTGCAGTTGCTATTTCTCCATCAGTAATGAAATCGTGTGATTTGTAAAACACTACATTGTTATTCTGCCTTGCAGCTGACTGAGACAAAAGTGTACATGCTTTAGAAACATGAAATAGAGCAAATGTTTGTTAAGTCTAGTAACTTCTTGGTTTTATACCAGACCAGGATAGAACACATACCTTTCTTCCCCCTGTGTTTATGCGAAGTGGAGTTAGGAAGGGATCAAAAATCATATGGCTGGTTTCAATATTGACAGGTGACTGTCTTTTCCCAACAGAGCAAAGATTCCAAGCTGAATTCACCAAACCCCAAAAGGAGGGAACTGCAAAATATAAAGAAGTGCAAGTTTAAGAAAAGTCTGGAAAGATGAGAGAAATACATGCAGGGCAGATGGCCAGATGATTAAACTTGTCATATTGTCTGCTCACACACACTGAAACTGAAACCAGGCAAAATCACCTAATACTTGAAATGTAAAACTTCATGCACAAAGACAAAAGCATATTGTTTCATATACTTTTGTATCAAAATAGAAGGTTGGTTTTGGTTTTTTTCTTTCTCTTTTGAAGGTATCTAGATGTAATTCCACACTCCATCATAAGTAGCTCCTTTCCTGTTAGTATTACAGAATATTTACTGAGCAACAGCATTAGTCCTTTTGCTAATTTTGCACACATTCACTGTGTCCATTAACTGAAACCATCCCATTCTACTCTATATTTTGAAAGTCTTCATATTTACAAGAAATCATTAAAAGCCTCAGCATTATTATAAGGGAAACACACCGTGTTCCCAGAGAACAGGCCTGCTCTCTAGACAGGTTCTACTGATTTCTCTTCCATTCACCTAAACCTTTAGTGTAAGTTTTGATCTAAAAAAATGTTGTTGGAAAAGCCATACTCTGGTGGTAAAGGATAGTTCCTTCCCTGCATGTGCTTGGAACATGGAAGTGAGTTACTTTCTGTACCCCTAACTGGAAAAAAATGTGATGCAGCACTATACTGCTTCTTATCAGGTACCTGCAGGCTTAAAGTTATATTGCATCGGACCTGCAGTTTATAGACAAGCACAACCTGAGCTTCAATTTGGGTGCTGAAAAAATTTCTTACTAAGTGAGTAAAGAGCAGCTAACAAGGTACACAAAGGCCACATTTATATTCGTGTCTCTACACTTTGTCCCTGTCTGAAATGTATAAGGTAACTTTATCAGGATTATTCTGCAGTTTTATGTGGCAGGTGGAAATTTCAGTGATGCAAATGCTGATGCCTTTCTTCGCTTTATTCTTTTTACATGCTGCTAGAAGTTTTCATCATCTTCACCCTCAAACCATTCTTCTGATTTACAAACTATGTGACTAGGCTGGGGAAGGGGTTGTGCCTGAGGCCCTGGGCAGGGGCTCAGGTGTTTTGCCCAGAGGGCAGAGCTGAAAACAACCCATCAGCTGCTCATTAAAAGCTTTTTGATTGCTGTAGCTGGTTGTGTGCAGGGTTCTGCTTGGAGTTTTTGCTATTCTAGTGGGAGCCACATAGAGTTTTGGCTGGATTTGACCTTTTGGGCTGTAGTAGACTTAACCCAATGGGAAGATGTTCCCTGGAGGAGAGACAGGTGGAGGTGGCTCATCTTGGTGAGTGTTTTCCTATCGTGTTTTACAGGACGTTTCAGGTTTTTTTGCCCTCAAAGTTTGAGTGTACTCAGGTGTAAAACTTTGGCTGGGTTAATGTACAGCTTCGTGTAAGATTTCTACAAAAGCAAATAAATGTTAGGGCTGTTTTTAGGCTATTGCTTGCATGGCAAAACTTCAGCATGAGTGTCTACACAGAAGCAATGGAAGTGTTTTGCAGTTGTTGAGTATCTGCCTATACCAGAAGTTCATAAGCTGTTGTCCACAGATATTACTTTTACTCCTAAGTATCTGAAAACTCAGGTTTTGGCTGAAGCTTCTTTCCCTGTGCTGGCTTGTCTGTGCATCTACAGGTGCTACACTTGCAGGTGAACAAAAACAGCCCTGCACGGATCCAAGTGATACAGCCACAACTGACATGTTACAGCTACCAAACTTAGTTTCCTCGCATACAATTTAGAAGTGAACATGTGTTATTAATACCTTAAATTGAGCAGTGAAATATCTTTTTTAAACACCTGACATGGACAAGCAAATCGGCTCACATGCAAAGCCCCAGAAGGGTGACTACTCTGCATGTGGTGCAGGAAACATGTAAGGGATCACAGTGTAATGTTCTATGACTCTGGGAGAGCAAAAAGCAGCTTTGCACCCCAAATAGCTAAAATACAGCTATTTGCTATAGCACCCCAAAAGGCTAAAATGGCAGATGCCCACATCAAATCATGTCAGTAGTCTTTCATGTGAATAACAAACCCTGGCTGCCTCCACCCCATAGAGGGTCAGATGGGAGGCCTTTAAATTAACCAAAGCCTTGTGTGATAAGGAAAATGAACAGGCAGTATGGTCTTAAAAATATATCTGGCTTCTGTTTACCCTCCCCATGAATTCCCACTTCTACTGGAGACTTGCAAGAATACAGAAGTTCCCAGAGTGTGATAAATAATAGTGCTAATGCTTTGAAATGGGAATAAAGAAATGTTAGTGCAATTAAAAATAAAGCAGAGCATGCTTAATTATTTGTGCTTTTTCTTCAGAGAAATACCACAGGATCTTCAGTTTCTGTCAGAGAAAATCCCTGTTTATGCAGAATCCTAAAATAAAAGTGTAGGTTAATTGAGGCAGCCTGGTTTCCCTGGATAAATCCCCCTGTGTTGTTATTAAAAAAAGATAAATAATGATAAAAATAAATGAATGATGAAATTGTAGAGTTGTGGGTTCAAGAGGGAAAACATTAGAAGGGAAATCTGTGGCTTGAATGGTTTCCAGTATTATTAAAGAAGATCTGGGCAGAAGTACTCTCGATATTGGTACAACAGTTCTTTAGCAAGCTGTTTAAAAATAAATAAACCAACTAGATCGGGTAAGTGCAATAAAATGGCAAGTCAAACAGGTCAGTCCCTTATGTTGAAGTTCATACGAGTTAAAAGAGTTTGTGATGCAACTGGATTGTCCTGGAAAAGCTGCACTGGAAAATAGCTGCTGTGAGGGGACCACAGAATCCCAGGCTGGTTTGGGTTGGAAAGGACCTTAAGATCATCCAGCTCCATCTCCCTGCCATGGGCAGGGACACGTCACAGTAGTCCAGGTTGCTTCAAGCCCTATCCAGCCTGGCTTTGAGCACTGCCAGGGATGGAGCATTTGCCACTTCTTTGGAACATCCAGTGTCTCACCACCCTCACAGTAAAGAAATACTTCCTTATATCTAACCTGCTTCAGTTTAAACCCATTACCCCTTGTGCATTAAAGCTACAGAAGTCCTTCCTGTAATATCTGACATCCCTGGTCAGAGTCAGCAATAACTGGGCCTTCTTATCTTTCCTATACCTGATCACCAGCTTCATGAGCAACGTCCCTGTATTCTTCACAGGCTATCTGTCTTTGATTCCACCTTCTATAAGCTTTCTTTTTCCTTCTGAGTTTTCTCAGCAGCCCTTATCCATCCATGGAGGCCTCCTGGCCTTCCTGCCCTGTTTCCTTCTTGTCGGCATGTTTTACAATGGTATTTCTGTTTTTGACAGGGAGCCCCTGCACTCTGTACACTGCCTGTCACACCAGCTGAGCGCCAGGAAGTCAAGAAGGTGGAGCTCCAATACTGCGATGCTGCACTGCAAAGGTTACACTTGTCACCTGAACATGTAAGTCTGTGTTGAAATCCTTGATTTGTTACATGCCTAGGGAGCTCATGCTAAGTGTCTCCAGTGTGTGCTTGTTGCTAGCTCTGTTATATCTGGCTAGACAAAGAGGAAGTGTAGCAATGGAAAACTTATCCCAGTGATTGGAGTGACTTTGCTTATGCTTCTTCAGCTGAAGGTTAATTAAGGATGACTGACCTCTGACTGCACACCTAAGTTAACCAGGGGATGGGGATATTATGCCATATTAATATCTGATTACATTTAATTAAAGTAATTAGTGCTGCTGCTTAGATGCTCAAAGTAATAGAAAAGTATTCAGAACCATAATGGAAAAATTCAAGAAGGCTTCATGTAGGAAACCAAGGCTTAAATTAAACACATGGTCTTAGTTAACTGTTTAGTCCAAACAAATTAGTGCACTGAACATAGGAAAACACCTATTATGATTCCACCTTAGCTAAGAGACATGAGCCTACTAAGGGTCAAGTCATTAATGAAACAGTATCTCACTCCCCACGATTGTGTTGTGTTTCCATTAAAATCTAGTTATGTATAAATGGGAATACGCTGCATCTTTGTGTGTGTGTACTTCTGAAGCATTTTAGGCAGAAGCCTTGCTCCTGAGCTGTGCAGGAACTAGTTGGCATGCAGCTCACATGCTACCTTACAATCTCATTTAACAAGGTTCTCTAGCTATGGTTATACTACCAGAAGTTTCTCTATACTGATCATGTCATCTCTGCCTTCGTCAATAAATCCCTGTAAATTTATATTGCTTGAGAGCCGATTTGTTGCAAACATGTTACATAGAAATAAGGTGATAAGTTTTTGGCTGATCACTGTCATGCCTTCAACCGTCTCATAACAGAAAGAAAACTGGATAAATCCAAACTTCATTTCCTCTATTTGTTGGTACACGACAGACAAGAGACTTTGTGTGATACGATGAGGGAGATTGCTTATATTTTATACCTCTACAAAAATTTCTGATGTCCTTATTCAGCCTCTATCTTACTGCAGCTGCTCTTTTTTTTCAATTTACTGGAAACAATTTATATTGAGATGTATGAAGATGCTCTAGTATCAGCATGACACAATAGAATGAGGGATTCTGATGGCTTTTGCCAAACCTATGCATAACAACAGTGAAATAATAGCAGCTAGAAGGTAAAGCAAAGATTTAATGCTGTTCTCCTAGTGATGAGTACCAAGAATTTGCCAAAATAAACCCAAGCTTCCCCTCTCCAGAGAAAAGCAATGAGTGAACACTGTCCCTTAAGGATGCCCTCCTTTGGGTACAGCAAACCTGCACTTAAGCATAATGGTACTGTCTGTAGCGTGTGCTGATGGACAAGTCTGCATCCATGCTGGGAGAGGAGGCAGTAGTTTTCCCAGCATGGGACCAGAGTGCATGCTGTGCACATCTTAATGATAAAATGGTGCTAGGCACAAGAGGTCCAGGTCATGAAAGTGTTGTGGATGGTTAAGCGGTGTCTCTCATAACTTGTCTGGCTCTTGAGGGCTTATTTATATAAAAAATTCTCAGAGTTCTATCCCATGCTTTGTTTCTGCATCTTGGTCTTAGCAAAGCCATAAAGAGTTTGTAGCTAGAATCCAGTTTTTATGGTGCTTATTTTTATAGGTGCTTATTTTTCCCAAGGTATCTGCTACTGGTCACTGTCAATAATAGCAGATGGAGTCTAGTCAAGACAGTAAAGTTATTTCATAGAATCATAGAATAGTTAGGGTTGGAAAGGACCTTAAGACCATCAAGTTCCAACCCCCCTGCCATGGGCAGGGACACCTCGCTCTAAACCATATCACCCAAGGCATCGTCCAAACTGGCCTTGAACACTGCCACTTGTGTTGTTCTGCACTGAGACTGTAACTTTCTCTCTGAAGTTTGCTCAACGTTCCAGAGCACAGATTCTCTGAATTCAAGTTACTCTAAAGTTCATGTAAGCTTGTTCATGCAGCCGATCCTTGTTTATATATTTAAGCTTTAGCATCAGCCCTGGCGATAGCATAAAACACAATCAGATTGTATTTGTGCAGCGATTATTCTTGCCCTGTGTAATTACTGGTCCCTCAGATAAAATCTCAAGCTACTTTATTGAAGCTGGGAATTGAAACCACAGAGAGAATCAGCTATCTATGTACATCAATAAAGCAGTCCATTAATTATTTCCACCTACTCAACTTGAAGAAAATTACCATACTAATGCCTCTGGATAACCACATGACCTGCTCTGCTTCTACATAAAAGCCAAACGTAAAGTCATAGCAGCTTTGAGAGATAAATCGGGAGCACCAAAGAAATAAGAGAGTACAGAATGGCATTCATGTAAGTAATTGGTCACAGAAATCTCCAGACTGCAGTAATATTAGACAGTATCACAATGGTTTCAAATTTGAGAACTGAAAGCATTCTGATTTCTTTCCAAGAAGCAGAAAGTTGATAGCTGGAATATATCCTCCAGAGTAAGACAGCATCGCTATTAGTGAAAAAATACTAAACACTATTAAAATAGATCTTGAAGCGTATAAAAAAAATGAAAATTGTGAAGAACTCTAACAGCATCCTGTTACATACTGCTCATTCCATAGTTTTCAAATGTCATCTTCCCTCTGTATGAAGAGTTCTCAATGACAGGAGAAGTTCAACAACTGCACAGGCTAAATAAGAAAGAACAGAAAACAGAGAGGGAAACGAGGAGTTAAGATTCTGGAGAGAGATTTTTCTCTCAAAATGTGTTAGTTTCTTGCTATGCCTTTAACAGAAACACCTTGCAATACTCTCTTCAATTTACTTTTGAAATTATAGATGCTTACTTCTGCCTAATTAAACATTTTCTTCAATTAGGAGTATTACCTGGAAAGAAGTACTTAGCAATCACCATTAGTGACCACTAACCTTGCAAAGCTTTTGCTTATTTTAATCCACACATTTGGGATACCAGTGCAGAAAAAACTACCACTTCTTTCATTACACTGATTCCACCAGACTCATTCACTATTATAAATTATGTTAATCTTAGGTAAAGAGCAGTTATACAATAGTATGCAATTAGCTTTTTCTCTCCCACACTACTAACACTCAAATACTACGTTAATGTTTCCCCAAAATATAGGTCAGCTGTTTAAAAGGTACTCGCTTTTCGTATTAACCCTTCATTTTGCATCATCTGTATGGCAGGAGTAGGAAGGGGTGTATCTACAGGCAGAGGTGTAGCCAGGTCTAAAACTAAGCTATTTCAGTATTGATCTTCTAGGGCCATGGTTACTACTGTTCTGAGAATATAATTTACTCCTTTCTCTCTGTATAACCTTTTGATTGGAATGAGCTTGGGGAAAACTGTCTTCCTGCATAATGTTAGTAATGTTGCTTATGTTGAAGGGTTTAGCATAAATGTATCTCAAGAAATGGAAATGAAAACCAATTAAAGGACATTTGGTTTAAGGGTTAAAAAGAAACTAGGATGTTTGGTGGAACTGGCGCAGATTGCTCATTGGAATGTTGGTCCTGGGTAAAGGGAATCCTTCTTGGTAAAAGAGCTAAAGATGAAAAAGGGGAGTGGATGAAAGCAACAGCTTCTCTTTTTCTCTACCCAAGGCACTGAGCATACACATGGGACTGGATCAGTGCCTGTATCTGCCATATGCTGGGCTCCCTTATTATGTCTGCCAGTGCCTGCGATGCCTGTATGATTAACAGGATGCATCGGTTACTTGCCAATCAGCTGGCAGTTTCTAATCAAGTCTGGTCAGGCCCTCAGTCATCAACCACTGCCAGGGTTCAACAGAACCCCTCAAAGTGGGCAAAGAACACATGGGCTATCACAACTGAGGAAGTTTTCCTGACACTCATTGTAATTTGCGGGGTGGAAAAGAGGGAGAGTTTGGCTTGGATTTAAAAGTAGACTGAAAGGGACAAAGACAAAATGCAAAACAGTTGAAATGGTCGTTCTGTCCTTTAAATACAGCTTTGCACTGACATGCAGGAAGCCCAGATTTGAGCTATTGTATGATCCCTGGAAGTAACCTTTCCTCTTCATGTTTCTTCATCTTTTGCTCTTCTGTTTGTGCTGTGGTTCATGATGTAAAAGTGGGCACTATGGCTGTTCTGAGGCAAGGTGAGTGAGATCTAAGGTTTTAAGGAAGATCCAGAAAGACAGTGAAGAAAACTTCACATAGATGAAATGGAACACTGGAGAAACTTGTTCAGAGAGAAGTAATTTGGAACTTACTGTTTTAAGGAAAGGAGAAAGACTGCCTATCCAGCAGATAATTTGAGCTGTTCTGTAGATTCAGCTTTATTTTAATGTCTTTGGGATACTATTGATCCTTTTGCTGAAAAGTATAAATGAAAGAAGGAAAACAAAAAAACTACAGAAGACAGCATATTTATTTTATCAAAAGTGCTCATTCTGGCTATACCAGTGCTTCACAGCATGCAGTTACTAAACCAAACATAACTCTCAGGTAGTAAGTTGGAATTTTAACTATTTCTTGTCAAAGTCAGTATAGGTCTGCATATGGTTAGCACTTCCTTTGTTAGGATAAATAAAATGAGCATCACATTCTGAAACTACAGGGTGTTAAGGAATTCAGTTTGGACAAGGCAGGCACTGAAGCATGAGAGCTACGTGTAAGGAGCACCCAGTAGGGGTTAACCAGTCCCATTCTCCAAAGCACTTGTGTGTGTGACAGCAGCCTCTTGAGAGTTTCTTGTAGCTATGTACTACACTGGTTTCCCACAAGACTCTTATAGCTAATGACAGCAAATAATGCAGAAATGTCCTGACTTGCAAAGACAAGTGAGGAGCAGCCAGAGAGTTCACCACTGCACACTGCAGTTCGTATCTGTAATGACAGTCCAAGACAGAAACACTGATGTTCTCTGCTCTGGTATTTTCTGGAGTAATCAGATTTCTCTGACCTCATTCCACCAGGCTCTGCCCCTGCCTGGGGATGCTGTTTCCACAGTGAGATTACCAAAGCTCTAACTTTGATTGCTCTTAGAAAGGCCAGAGGTCCTTAGGACAGCTGAGTAGGTGCACTTACTCACAGGCTGGAAAGAAAGTTGTCTGGACAATGCTAATCTCTTAGAAGTCCAGTGTGGTGCTGCCAAGCCACAACTCTAAACTACAAAACATTTTAGAGTGAAAGAAACCCTGGCCTCTCCTCAGCTCTTGCATCAAATTATTCAGCTAATTGCTATCCACTGAGTGATCTGCTGCTTTTCCTATTGGCAGTTAGTCTCATGAGCTGGCCTATCTGTTTTGAAAGAATCCAATCACTGCATCCTTGCTAACAGGTTGTACATGTAGTACATGTGGCACAACAGTCTTTGCAGATGGGCAGCTGCTGAGCACAGAAACCCACTTGATCGTTACCTAGGGGGGAGAATTTAGCTTTCAAGTACCAAATGATTCATTTTAAATACTTCTGGGTTGTTTCTGCTACCCTGTGTGTACAACAGGCAGAAGCAGAACAGATTTAGTGGTGCCTCTGACTGGTGATAGATCTGACTGCTTGGGAGTCCCAGTAGCTAAAGCAGAGGACTCTCACTTGCTGTCTTCAGCCTTCCTCCTGATTAAGCGTCTGTATCTTGCTGTTCTCAACAAAACATGACAAACTCTTTGCACCAGAACTGCTGTCGGAGATGTAAATGGGTAGCTGAGTGCCAAGGTACTCTTTTAGTTCATGCCACATGATCTGATTTCTGTATTCTGTGTTCACACCACAGCACACCTACCCTGCATAGGAAATATGATGGTTTCCTACCCAACAAATTCTTGCATTATGAATTAGCCAAATGCCAGGTGGTAACTGATATAATGAGTGTAAGGCTGGTTATTATAATGGTTTTCAGAAATGCTGAAATGCATTCTCTGGATTATCTGAAATTAGGGGTGAAAATAAAGGGAGATGGAAAAGGATTTGCTTTTTCTTGAAAAACTGGGCCACTTATATAATGTGAAAATTCTGTCAGTGCAGTGTCTGGTCCAGAAAAATCCCATACAAACAACATAAATACTGAATACATTCTTAGAGAGGAAAGTGCAGGACTATCTGTAAGCTCCCTACAAACAAGAGAAGAAATGAAATTATTCATCTTCACCAAATGGCTGGGGAGACGTGTCATGTTGTACACATCCTCCCTCTTCCAACTCCAAACCTGCTTCTGCTCATTAGAGATAGTCAGGTGGGTTTGTCCATAGTCCTATTGGCTTTCATGGCAAATGCAGGGCAGATACTACACACTTAGGTTTTTGCATACCTATTATTCAAACTAGCTTTCTGGATTTAACATGGACTTGCCATTATTAGTAACTCCTCTTCCACTGGATTAACTGCTGTATCTGTTGTTCAAATATACTGAATTCTGTCTAATGGCGAGGTCATGTTTCACACCTTTTGTTCCATTAATGCATTCAGTTTTGCATTCTGCTGTGAGTCTGAGCTTCCAAACAACCTTGCTGATCTTGCTGAGGCTGCTTTTGGAGAGAGATACAGCAAATGAAACTGCTGAGTTCTGCTGTCAGTGAGGAAACATTTTGCAAATATATTGGTTTTCACAAGGCTGTGAAGGTTCTTAAATACTCACGTAAATGTGTGTTTAATGACACCAGTAAGTGTTTTCTCATCTACTTTGAAGTTTGTGCATTTGCAGTCAAACACAGAGAAATGCTCTGCAGCATCCCATCAGACAGGCTAACTGGGAACGTTCTCAAGCTGTTTTTTTCTGCAAACCAACCCCCTCAAACCCCTCCACTCTCCCAGCCCTGCCAAATGCATCAGCAAGAACTGATGCAGGTAATGGGCAAGGAGTTGACTCTCCCTCTTGATGTAAGATAGGGTTTGGAAATGTGCTGCTTTGCTGCCATCAGTGTGTGAAAATGGAAGTGCATTGCCTTGACGTGGAAAGCCAACAGGAATAACTGAGTTGTGAATGTCAGGTGTGTATTCGAGGTTAGATCAAACAGCCACTGCAAGGAGAACCCTTTATTATTTCCAACTAGCTACTCCACAAACTATGACCGAAAAGCTGTTTAGCACAGCAGTAATCTTTCCAGAACCCTTCCTTAGCCAGCTGTTTTCTTAAGCTATGGGTGTGCATGCATGTCTCATACTAGTGTCAATCACAGAGGACAAAAAATAGTGCTTATCTGACCACTGCTGGCAGGTGGCAGAAGTTTGTAAGGCAGTAACCATGTGCTATTTTCTTTCTGTGGCTTGTAATGACTTATTTCATCTTGTGAACAATGACAGTAGCAAGCACACCATTTATGTGAGAATTATAGCAGTGCATCAGCATCATCCAGTATGCAAGGCTCCACCTTGAAGCCCATTGCAGAAGCACCCACTGTTTTAGCAAGGCAGTTAGAGCCCAGTCACAGAGGTCATGCACAGAATGCAGAATTGTAAAATCTATCAGAGGCACAAGACCGTAATCTGCTTCCCAGTGTGTCTGGAGAACAGAGGGCTAGTAGCGCTAGAACACTCCCGACAGCTTATTTCTCTCTGCCAGAGATTCTAACAGCTCAGAAAGAATGAACATCAATTGTTTCCAAGGGAGATGTATAAAATATAATGTATGTTGCCTTTTTGGCAGCAAAGATTCACTGGAAGATGGTGCCTTGGAGGCTTTATTACTTGTGACCTTCACACAGAACCGAATACACCTTATTTTCTGAATAATTTCAGCCTGTGGATACAGTATTTGATGGTCTTTCAAGCAGTAGAAGAATAAAATCACACCTTCCTTGAGAAAGAGGTTTAGGAAGGAAAGTATTAAATGGCTACATCCAAATGGAGTAGGACATTTACAGCTATGCATGTGCAAAGACTAAAAGTACCCTCTCAAAGATCCCAGCTCCTAAATTCTAACATTACAAATATGATTATCAAATACATCTGATAATAAAAAAAATCTCATTGCCTAGAGGCAAAATTTGCAGTCTCATTGTAACTGAGAATATAAATTGAAGTTGACCTCTGTGGTGCAGGCTTGATAATACTTCCAGAAATCAAAATATGAACAGATTAATCCTGGAAACAGGACTAACTGAACTAGTTCATGGCAATTCCTTGGGCTTTGGAACTAACAGTTCTTCACCTTTCTTACCTGTTTTTTATTTTTCAAGAAAACATTTCTTCTGACTTAAATTTCCATTTGATATTTCAGTTTTAATTTGAATTAGTTGAATAAACATACTGAGGTAGACATTCTTTCTGACCTAACAAAGAAACTGTACCCGTCAAAATGTCATTGAGAACTATAACCAACTAGTTCCACATATTGGCCAGTGTTTTCCATCAGTGCACCAGGCTGGCTTTAACACTAGCAAAAAACA